ATAAGGATATTGGTCTATAATTATTGAACACACATTTATCACCATTTTTAAAGAGAGGAACTACCTTAGCTACTTTCATATTGTCTGGAAATATTCCTATTGAAAATGATAAATAACGTATATATGTAAACGGCTCGATAACATAACTCATTATGTCCTTTACAAACATCATGTAAATGTAAACATGTAAACAACATGTAAATAGATTGTTAGAATTTTTTACCCTTTGTACCATTTTATAACCAAATTGTTCTTTCTATACTTTTGTACCTGCTAATATACCCCTGGCAGACAGTTTGTAAAATTGATAAAGTTTTGTAATAAAATAATTTAAAATAAAGAAAAAAAGTTGAACACACCAAACACTGCACCTGAAGAAATACACTGACAACAAAAAAAATAATTTGAGCCCATACTGATATATGATTATTAAAATCACATACATCATTTTACTGTAATTATATTAAATACATGAGTTAAATGGGTTAGATAATAGCTTCACTGTTGCACATTACTATAACATTTTTGACATTTAAATGCCAAAACCACCTTATCATAAGCAAAATGAAGTGTTCTCACACGTTAAAACAACCTCTTTTCCTGGCTGCCTCCATAATTAATTCAAACTAACAGCAAAAACACACCTACTCCCCAACACAAACATTTTAGAGCTGTTTTATAGTGTTGAGCTCTCAATTGAAAACTGTCTCAACCTGTCACCTGTCAGAATCAAGACAAGGCGGTGCCTGAATCAGCTGTTTGGAATTCGAATCAGTCAAGTGATTCATTCCGACAACGAAACAGTTTGTGTTTCGGACGTCACGTGTCACGTGACTTTTTCCGCACCAAAACGGGCTCCGAAGCAGTGCTCCGATGTAATTTTACTGCAGGGTTCGAAGCATGTCGCTAAATGCTTTGAAAAACTGGTCATGACTCACATCAAAACAACCATCAACATCAACGAGGACCCTCATCAGTATGCATACCGTGAGAACCGATCAACAGAGGACGCCATCTCCTCTGTGGTCCACACTGCGCTCAACCACCTGGAGCAGAAAAACTCTTACGTCCGTATGCTCTTTGTGGA